GTGTAAGCCAGGAGAAATGCTGAGGTGTTTCCACTGCTCAAGGTGGGTGTCCCAGAGAAGAGGCCTCTATGGATCATCAAATAAACTGTGGGCAGGACGGTGTAGCCACATGACGCTTTAACGTCTATGAAAAACATTTAATCTCTATATTTAGCTTCTTTAAATAAATCATACCATAATCAGGTCTTCTTGGTGTGAGTCCAGGGCTTGAACCATCACAGACTGTTATTTTCAGAAGCATTTATTATCCTATTGACTTACAAAAAAAAACAATCTTTATTTCAAAATACCCATTAATACGAGTTTGAATTCCACAAATATGTTTAGAGGACATTGTCAAGAAAAATAAATCTGCCAATAGCCCAGACTCAAGCCTTTGTTTCAACAACAAGCTGTAATTGCCCTTTCAAAGGATAAGTGATTTGAACCATGGATTATTTAGTGAATCATGTGAACCTTGAACAGAATGTCCTCTGTTTGAACTTAGACAGAAGAACATCACATTACAATGAAGACAAACCAATATTCTTAGAACAAACCACACGTCGACAGTTATTCTGATAATACAGATTCAATGAGGAGCGTTCTTTGATGACCTTTATTGTAAGAAACATTTTATTAACTACATTACTATTTCAAAATAGAATTGTAACACTATTTTGGAGTTCTAACCGACCACTCTGGATTTCAAGTGATTCTCGATTGTGTGTAGTGTTGTGTTTATGATTAAATACTGTAATTATATAGTACATGTGCTTGGGATCAGCGACAAAACCGTTTCAATCTGATTTATAAAAGAGGTGGCAGAAAAATATAACAATTAAGTCTTCTATCTGCTCCTTTCTGATAATGAAAATGCTTGTAGATTTGAAAAGAAGAAAAAGTAACTGTGTGATGTATGTTACTTGTACAACTATGCATTTACATGAACAGAAATATAAATTTAAAAAAAAGTTCTCAAAACTTGTGTACTGTGCATGCACAAGTATTGACCGAAAAAATAAACAAGGTGTCCATGTGAAGTCATTAATAACAAGATATTTTTGTATTGAAGATTAATATATACCCTAACCCTAAGACAGTGGAGATGATTGTGGACTTCAGGAAGAGCACTGTCCCCCCACCCCCACCCTCCGTGATGGACTCCCCCATCACCTCTGTGGAGTCCTTCCGTTTCCTGGGCACCACCATCACCCAGGACCTCAAGTGGGAGCCGACCATCAGCTCCCTCATCAAGAAGGCCCAGCAGAGGATGTACTTCCTGCGGCAGCTCAGGAAAGCCAAGCTGCCTGCACAGATGTTGGTGCAGTTCTACACGGCCATCATCGAGTCCATCCTCACCTCCTCCATCACCGTGTGGTTCGCTGGAGCCACAGTCAGAGACAAACAGAGACTACAGCGCATTGTGCGCTCTGCAGAGGAAGTGATCGGCCGCAGCCTTCCATCGCTGCAGGACCTGTACGTCGCCCGAGCTCGAGGCCGGGCTGGTCGTATCACAGCCGACCCCTCTCACCCTGCACATGGACTATTCCAACCACTCCCTTCAGGCAGGAGGCTGCGGTCCATCAGGACTAGAACCTCCTGCCACAAGAACAGTTTCTTCCCCTCTGCTGTTGGACTCTTGAACACTTCTTAACCTGTCCCCCCGCCCTTTATAAAGTCACTTCACTGCCCATCATACGTCACTTTACTTCACTGTACTGCTGTCACCTTACATTGTGTGCACCATGTGCACTTGTATATTGTAAATAGTAACTGTAACTCTATTTTAAATTTAAATTTATTCTTTAGAAGTGTTTTTTATTCTTATTTTTATTATCTCTTTTTGACTGTTGCACTGAGCCAAAGCAATTTCCTAGTTTGTGACCTCCTGTTACTTACGTGGCAATAAAAATGATTCTGATTCTGATTTCAGATTTAAGCTGCCACCTTCTCCTCTGCATTAGAAAGCATACATCTCTTCGGCCATTTTCTTCTTTTCTCTCAAATTCACATTAAGTCAGGTCTGCCTTGGCACCTTCACACTCGCACACTGTAGAGATGAGCGCGCAGTGTTAAATATTCATGTGGGAGCAGATGCCCGAGCGGCCACTGGCATTTATCTGAGCCGCTGCTGCTGCAGGTGTGGGCTGGCAGAGCGGGTCTCAACCTTTGGAGCGTCCCGCGTCTGATAGCATTACATCTGGAGACAGGACCAAGCGACACAGCCAAGGCCACGGACAAGACAAGGCAAGATTACATATTCCAGCAATGGGAACTCAAAGGCTGCTTCAGTTTGTTGGACCAGGCTCCTCCATCAAAACGCAAACTGTTTCCGCATTTGTATAACTTTTCTGCAAATCTGTATTTTGTATTCTGCAAAGAATATATATACCAAGGGTCTCAGCATAATTTTGGTAAGGGGCTTCACATAAAAAAGGCTATCATTTTATAGCTATGTCTTTATTGTTTTCTATGGTGGAAAGTTTGATTGGTCAAACCTTTCACAAATCATTTTTTTCTATTGCCAGCTTTTAAGTAATGGTTATCTTGTGAACATAATTAGTTTTGTTTAACATGAGTTTGAATGTTCTTTTCTTATAGATGTTTTCTGAACAAAATGAGACCACCAGTGTCGTTGATTTTACCGGTCCGGGATTTACCGGTAAATCTCTCATTTGATCTTTTAGGGTCGTGACTGATTTGACAACATTACAGATTTAATCATTTACAAATGTTGCTGATTAAATTCTCATTGGTATTTTCTATGTTACTATTATGACTGTGGAGTGACCAGAATTATCATGATAACCGCTTCACTGTATCATTTGAACATCCCGAGTTTGAGCAAAACACACAAACAACTCCATGATATACGTCCATGTACATAATGCATGCAGACATTAGTGCTGTCTGGGGATTAAAACCCAAACATGTACAATGGCGAAATTCTGACCACGTGTTTCGCTCGAGATGAAGAAATGTGTCCCCAGGCGATGTACACTAACTGCCCCAGTGTCATTGAGGGAAGCTAGGGTCAGGCGCACAAGACAAATGCTCTCATGGGAATAATAAAAAATAAACAAAACCTCCCTATGCAAGATTTACCCACAAGCAATCACCTTCCCTGGCATCTGTAAATGGTCTGCTCTTCGCTTCCATTTAAAAGGACATATACAGTATCACCTCTGCAGTTTAGTGAAAAATCAAAAAACAAAACAAATATTGTTTAAAATTAATTATTCCAGGAATGTCCCATTGACATTTCATAGTCTCTTCTTCAGGGGAGTCTTGGCCCCAGACAGAAGACAGAAGTGGTGTTAGAAAGGGTTTTTATGAGATTTTTGTACATGTTTTTTAGTGGTATAGGTGAAATTGGAGCACCAGGAGGAAACTTACAGAGACAGAGGGTGAAAAAATCTTTACGGACATACTCCTCAAAGAAATGACCCTGTCTTAAGGTGGAATTGAACCCAGAACCTTCTTGCTTTGAAGCACAAGAGCTAACCATTATACCACCATGCCGAAGTTATTTTAAAATGTTGTTTACTTGTTATAAATATAATAGAATAATACTTTTAAATTGTGTATTTCTTGTTTGGCTTACACTACTGAGGTTATTGGGCTGATGTGTTTCTCCAGTCAGACCTGTGGGGAAGTGCCTTTATCTTTCAAATTACATTGCAATTGTATAGTTCCATATCTCTAGAATGTCCAGTTGTTTTGATCTGACTAATTCACTCAATGGTCAAGAGCTTTTCATTTGTGCTGATACAGATCCCTCAGTTATAGACAGTCCACATCTGACATCCACAGACTCAGTCAACAGAAATGAGGGCAGTGAAAATCTTCTCCATTTCTTTTTAGCGGATGAAGGTAAAGTTGATATGTGATTGAATTGTTGTCTATAGTAAATGTAAATATGTGACTACCTTCTCTAGATATCATCATGCGTACAATTGTCTGTGTCTACTTTCAACTGAGAGATTATAACATAGACCCATAGATAGCTTGATTGCCTAAAGTTTTAGATCTTGGTAACGTCATTGGTGAGGTTAAAATTCACTATGTTTGGTGATTGTATCCAACTGGAGAGAGTAAAATAAATGTTAGAAAATTGGAACTGAATGGACTAAATTATTGAACACAAAAAAACATGTGTGCAGCTTTTTTGACGCTGGTGTGTGGAAAAGAGTGTTGCACACATAGGGAAAAGTGGAGTAGGCTCACTTCATGAATAAAGTATTATGACACACAGTATGAATATGCAGGCCAAACCAATGCCTGTTCCTATACAAACTACAACTAAAATAGTATAATGTTGAAGACAAGAAAACATGATCTGGTCGCCAATAGAAATGTGGTCTTTTCTTTATTATTGTGTATGCTTTCAATTCAATCTTTGCAACACATATCGAGAATCAGGCAGTTCAAACACAAAGAATAGAGACCACATTGGTATTGGTCCATAGGGAGTTGACCAATGTCCATAAGTGATGATAAAATGTTGTTGTCCATAAATGTTGTTGAATTTTGAGTGTCCTGCATCATCACCACAGTCCTTTTAGTTAGGCCCAATACTATCAGTAAAAAAAGCCCTGTTGTAACCCACAAATATGACATCTAGAAACCACAAAAACATACAATTCAAGATTCAAATGGGGGAAAGGAGATGAGTGGCAGTTAGGGTGCTTGGAGCCCAGAAATGGATGTCTGTGGTAAAACTCCCTGCTGTTCACCTCTCTATTCCCGTTTTTCTCCCAAGGGCAAAAAGACAACCAGGAAAACTGCATCTGTCTAGCGATGTGTCAAAAGTGTGTGTGTGTGTGTGCGTTGGCATATGTGTGTGTGTGCACGCCTGGCTGACCTCTTTGGCCTCCTCGTAAGTAGCCGGGAATCACTGGCAGCAAAAAAACCTCCCTCTCGAGGCTCTTGGCCACTGCCCCCATCATTACTCCTCTGGGATCCCGGCTGGCTGAGCGGACCCGAGCCTCCAGCCGCGCATTAACCGTAATGAGGACATGGTGGAGAGAGGAGAGGAGGAGAGGATGTGTCACTGCACCGAGAAGAGAACATTGCGGATCCGTGCGCCACTTCACTCCTCCGGCATTCTCCCACACGCCGCCTGCACCCACCCTCAGACCGCTCACCCGCGCCAGAGCGTATAGTTCCATACTCTGAGAAAGCCAAGCTAAAGCCAATTTCACGGGGAAGTTGTAAGTAAGTATGTCTGTAGGTTTATTTGTATAGCTCCTTTCACAGACAGACCAGGATCACAAAGCGCTTCACATTTAAAAAACAAAACAAACAAAATGATTAACGTACAAGTAAGATTTAAAAACAAAAATACATCCTGGACACATAGGCCTAAATAAGGTGAGGCGAGAATGCCTGCCTAAACAATTTGCTATTTACTTAATTGTAACAAGTACAGCTACTCTTCCTCTTATGCTATTCAGTCCCTCAAGCTGCTCACAAAAACAATATTTACACTAGTTTTCATAAATAAGTGATACAGTAACCTACCTACTTTTGTTGTCTAATGCTGTGAACCAATAGCTTATCGTGAGTGACTTGCTTGTTACGGCCCACGGCCCGTAATCCCCTATTTTGTGGATTACTTTGGTTTCTCCCGCGGTGTCTCCGTGTGTTTGTGTTTTCCTCCTTTTTCAGAAGACCATGCTCGTGAGTCCTGGGCTCCTATTGGCCAGTCGTTCCCCACCTGGAGTTGATTGACTGCAATGCCTGGGTGCTGATTGGGCCGCACCTGAGGCAGTCCTCCAATCAGCGCACGCTCACCTGGAGGACCCGCCCTTATAAGCTGCCAATCCTTCGCGGCTTGTGGTAGCTGGAGTCAGTGGATTCCAGTTCGCCTTTTAGTTTTGTCTTTGTGCTGTCACTTCTGCCGGTCCTTCAGTGACTTTAAATTACACTTTGGTTTTGTCAATTGCTTACTTGTTTAATAGGTTATTTATTTACTCTGAGTGTGTTTTGTAGATATTTGTAACCTATTTGGTTACCTGTTTTACCTATTTTGTCATCTTAATTAATTATGATTTTAGTTACCAGTCTAACATCTTGGTTATTTTGTTACTTTTTTACACCTAAGCTGAACCGGGTTGTAACACTGCTCTATACAGATATTATGTTCCCAGCTGGATTTGTCTGCATATCTGGCAACCTGAGTCAGGGAGTGGGAGAGGTTGCAGTATCACTTTTGGCTATATTTTTACATACTGCTCCTTTAAGGCCAACTTTTAATGCCTTTACCTGGCTGAGAGAGGGTACTTCCTTGTTCACTGAAAAAGCTGATTTAAAAATGTGACAGAGACCCAGTATACATGCATGTGAAAACTACTGATAGTGATATAGTGATAGTATATCTTGCAGTTAACCAATTATTGTGTGTTTGTAGCGTGCTCCTTCTTCCTTACAGTATTTTTCTAGCGTTTTGACTGACATCTATTGTGCACCACTGTATATTTCAGCAGCAACAAAGAGAGAGGTGGGAACGGGAGAGCATCGGGGTGAAGGGCACAGCGAGAAAAAGGAAGAATGTGGTGGAACAGCAGCAGACGGACGGCAGCTCTGATGGATCGCGAAACGTGAAGGCGTGGTGTCAATGAAGCGACATTGGAAACATCCATCAAAGCTCTGTCAGACATGTGCATGCAGTTTTCAAAACGTACGCGAGTCAATCTGTCATCTGAGTATCTATAAAAGAAAAGATTGCTTGCTGTTAAAAAGAGTTATTGAAATCTAGATCTGAAGTTTTATTTTTATTATTTTACGGTACAGTTATAGTTCAGTTGAAAGTTTACATACGCCTTGACAAAAATTCTATTCCGGTACTTGCCATTTTAGGTAAGGAAGCTTCTTACCTAAAATGGCAAGTACCGGAACAGAATTTTTGTGTATTATTTTCATGATGTGAAATGTCAACATAATGGAAGAAGATTTATTTGTGCTTATACTTTATTTATAATTTTGTGCTTTATACTTTTCCACAGTAATGGTAAGGCACGGCACGGCGCAGCACGGCCGTGTGCGGGTGTTTTTCCATTCAAAATAGTACCTCTTCAGCGTGGGAGAGATCATCAGACCATGTCATTTACGCGCAATGTGTAACCAGTAACATTGGTGCGGTGCATGGATTTATTGGAATATCGGTGATAGGTGGTTATTAACTCCAAGGGGACGCTGCTTAGAGCGGCCCCGAAAACCTTTTCAGGACACCGGGCGAGTGACAGACCATGGAGAGACCATGTGATAGAATGGGACCCACCTGTAGCAACAGCAGCTTGTGGCAGCAGTGGTCCAGCGGAGGGTCTGATGCATAACTTTGTCATATGCCTAACATTTATTTTGCCCTTGTTTTGACCAAAAATAAAACTTTTGTAATTAGAAAATGTCTCCATCCTTGATCATAAATTTACCACGGTAATACGGATTTACTGACAAATATAATGTATGTCATGTAAACAGAAGTTAAAGTATGTGGTAGGAAATCACAACTTTTGCTTTTGAACCCCTTTTCTGCACGTGTACAGACAAATGAATGAAATAAAATCCTGATACAATCACAGCTTTATTAAAAACTAATACATACGACAACTTAAGTACAAGCAGAAAACAGAATGGCAACATGTGAAAGAGCAAAATACAACACAGTAGAACAGGAAGGACGTTTTAGCTTGCTAATGATTGCTAAATTTAGCTAAATATAGCTATAGCTCACCGTGTACAACAGACAATCAAACTTTTACACAGTAAATACATTTCAGTGAGAGCTTTGGGCCAACGGGAATTGTAGCTAACCAGTTATTTAAAGGATTACCACAGAGTAGTCACAAATCAAGAGCTGTGCGATCTCCCAGAAAACCTTGTTCCGTGTGCCGTGTTCTGTCGAGCTGCCTTTGAATTTTTTCTTAGGCCTAAAGAGAGTGTGTGGACCTTGTCGACCGACCATTCATTTCCATTTCCCCAGAGTGAGGAGGGCGTATTATAGCCTATTATAGATCCATGGCGGAGCAGCCGGTTTTAAAGATGGCTTCCAGTGACGAAACTCGTAGACCAATCAGTGTAAGGCAGTCGGTTGACGTCATGTCACGGTGTAGCTTGAACCACAGCCGAGGTGGTACAAAAAAAGTACCCTGATTTGAAATGAATGTGTTGTTTAGCACCAATCCTTCAAAGATCATCATAATTCCACATGTTTTACAAGTTTGGAAAGACTAGAAACTACACTTTCAGATTTAGCAAAGAAGTCAAAGTAAACTTATATCTTCCTTTTCCCCATGGCCAGACACGTATTCATTATAGATAAGATTTTTTTTTCTTTTTATATAAAGATATATAAACAAGCTGAAAACAAGATATATACAACTGGTTGATAAATGCCTGCAACTGGCTTTGATTTTCCAAAAAATAAATATAAAATGTTAAAAGAAAAAAGAAAAAACAGGTTTTGTGTTGTCCGCTTTGCAAAAGTGCTAAACCTAGATTTGCAGTCAATTGTTCCTCGGATCAGATCCTTCAAATAGGTGTCTTTACATCGGACGGTAGATAAGAGCAGTGGTCCGTTTGGGTTTGTCTTTAGCTACACGGCTAGCGCAATGAGCTATCACTGAGTGATTGCCATGTATAAGTAGCCAATAAAAAGAGCTTTCTATTGATGGGTGGGACTTACAGGAATTGCTTTTAATTTTCACAGTAAAAGCGTGCTTTTACACTACCAAAAAATTAACTTTGAAAACATGTTAACAAAAAAATCACACAGATTAGTAACTTTTAAGTACCTAAACTAAAAAAAATGGTTTTTATGATGAGGAAATTTCAGTAAAGCAATTTGGCACAAATTGGAACAAAGTGTGCCAAATTGGTTCTGAATGGCCCTACTTGATAAAAAAGAGAAACTGCATAAAAACTATAAAACTTAGAAGTCTGACAGTAGACATTACACTTTTGCATTTGACTTTGGAGATATGTTGCACATTCAACCAAGTTTGTATGCTTTTGAATCAAAATACGGCTTGATTTTTTAATAACAAACGCAAATGTTGTGAGTGTCTATTACCATTCATACACACAAACTGCAATCTGCCTTTAAAGATTCCCTGTAGGGTTCTCCTGCTGTGTTAACATTACTGTGGTTGGAAATTGAAACTGGAATAAGTGCGGTTCAATCAGGCATGAACATAGTTTCCAGTGCACCTTTGCATTTGAGCGAGAGACTGCTCCGAGACGAAAACAACAGTAGGAGGAATCTGAAGAATGTGGTTTTCGACCAAAGTTTGAGTTGCATGTTTAATTCAAGAGGGTACAAACAGACAAAGCAAATACACGATTTCATGGACGGACGGAAAAGCAGAAGAATTTGATACTTCCATCACAGTCTGACCATTGCACGTCAAGACTCTTGCAGACAGTGGTGGAGTGTGGTTTGAATAGCCCACCTTTTCCTCTAATGCTGGCAGACTGTGGAGCACTTTAAAACTGCAAACTGACTTAAAGCGATTGTCCGTTACTGTGACGATAGAGTCACAGAGCACTGGTTCGACCTGCTCCATGCCTCAGAGCCTCCTGATTGGACCACAATTATTCCAACCTTGAGGTCCCTTGTCATTGGTTTAACTATTCTCCTCCAGAAAATCTTACTGGTTTTAGGTATGCCAAGGGGAGGGACTATTTGAATATACTATGGTTGAAAAATTCTCACTGTAGTAAAGTTTCCCATGGTCATGAATAGGTTTTCTTACAATTTAAGTTGCTGACATTAGTAAGTAAGTAATGTTTATTTATATAGCGCATTTTACAGACCAAGGTCACCCAAAGCGCTTTACAATTGTTCAGAATTACCTTTAAACCTCCTCATCAGACGTCTGAAAATGTACCTGAAAGCAGATATTTTGAATGATTTGTAAATTTGATTTAGATATACAGTATGTTGAATTTGAATGTGTGCCTCATTTTCCTAAGTGTTAAAAATTTGTGTTAGCAAAACTTCGGTTTGGTGAAACACTAAAGGCCGTGCCCCTGGTTTGTTCAATGTAACTGTTGTGTCCATATCAAATAAATAAATACATCAATTGTGAACTGTACCTGTATTTTTGTTCAAATGTTATGTTGGAGATTCCATCATCCGACAGACACAGAAGGATGGTTTTGTTTTATGTTCTCATTGTGTGGATGTGGAATATTTCTGTATCCTCTGTTGGAAGAGTTCATACATTGTTCTTATGTAGGAAATAAGCTAATATTTTTCTCGCTTTCTTAGCAATTGATGTATTTGTTCAAAATCTAATACAACAGCAACAGCACAACATGTATTTCAAACATATTTATTTTGAAAGAAAATATTCCACACCTATAGAGTTTCATTACCGGAGCCTCAAACTGTGGCAACAACTAAGAAATGAGTTGTTATTTTCCAATTTCAATTCTTCTACTGTGTGTTTCATATATTTTATTATTTTGTTCATATTATTTTGTAACAAACATGGTCAAAAAAAAAAAACCATGACGCAAGGAACTAAAACATTAAATAAAACAAATAGCCTATACCCAATAAAAACAATAGTATATTGAACTAAAATCTAAACAAAACAAAGGCATATCCATGGACAAACAGATAAGATAAGATAAAAGATCGTGTATCCATCCCACAGAGCACACATTTCGATACAGGACCTGAGGAGTTTCCATTAGACAACAGCTTGTGTGTGGTGTGTGTCCATTGTCTGTGCCAAACACACTCACAGCTCTCTGACATTATGACAGTGTCTACAGCAGACTCCAAATGTCACAAACGTGCCCCGAGGACTCCTCCAACCTCTGTCCACGGACCAGAGCACAGCTTTGGTCCTCACGGAGACCCTTAATATAGAGCAGCCCAAGCAGCTGGTCTGGACCATGTGTGTAGGGAGATTACAGGCCGATAGACAGCTGCACGCGGCACGCCTGCGATGGTCAGGCAAAAGCGGCACATCATTTTGACTTTGAGGCATGTTCAAATCTTGCACTGTGAAATATTTCCTAGCCCAAAAGTTGTTAGATCCATCGCATGACACCAGCATTGTTTGATGGTCCCAGTGGACAAAAACATGTATTTTGGATAAAACTTTGATGAGATAAACTCTGATGATCCACTGAAATCACAAACTCAACACCATTCCAATATTGAAAACTAGAAAAGCACTCAAAGAAATGCCATTCCATTCTTGAAATATATTCTTGAATCCAGGCGGCGACCCATTACAAATAATGAATCATTATCAATGCGGTAAATGAAACATTTGGTACTGACGGGTTTTGCTTCGTACTCACCGGTCCACCACGTATCACCTCGCCCTGTCCCGTCTACAAACCACACGGTAACAACATCCATGGCAAGCCGGTCGCTCTGGGTGCTAATTTCTGGTATAAGGTTTATTACAATACTGTATTTAGCAGCAATACGCAACATTTAGAAAAAGGTTAGAAAATGACTAATAATGACTCATTGCACGCAAAGTGAGATATATCACAGGTTATATTTGTTACAATATGGATAATCATCCATCCATCCATCCATTTTCTATCCCTTAATCCATTTCTGGGTCGGGGGGGTGGCAATCAGAGATGCCAC